AAAACAATTAAATTAAAACATGTGTATTTTTTTCAAAAACCCTAACCCATTGCTTTCGTCTGTTTATTATTCCTCCCGGAAGAAGAGCGACCGTCCGTCTCCCCGACTTCTCCGGCTGTCGTCCCCGACTTCTCCGTCCCTTCTCCGTCGCAAAGCACAGTAGCTCTTCTCGGACAGCCGACGATTCCGTCCGTTCTTCCGTGCCGACGACTCCGTCCCTTCTCCGTCTCTGTTCACAGCAACCCTTCTCCGCAAAGAAGAGCGACCGTCCGCCGGTCTAGCTTCCTTCCCGCTGAACTCTCCGGCCAGTGATTATGCTCCCGCAAGCGTTCTCCGCCATCTGCTGTCAGCTCCCATTGTCGTCGTCGGCCTAGTCCATCAACGACCTACTGCTCTCGTTAGCATCGGCATCGCTTCCGTCTCTGACAGCGCTCCCCAGCTTCCGACGTCGTGCTACTCCTCAACGGTTGTCGTCGTCTTCCTGCCGAGCGTAGCTTACCTCTGACGTCGGTCCTGCCCGGCGTTGCCTCCCTTCCCAGTCGCTACATTATTAACATTTTAAGTCTCATTGTTATCATTTTAACCTACACTATTAACATGTTATTAACATTTTAACGAGCACTTCTACTATGCTATATAGTATTGGTGCTTTAATGTACAACTTGAAGTTGTACCATAACATTAAATGTATAAGTTTAGGTTGTACCATAAAAGAATTTGTATCATTATGTTATGGTACAACTTTACAAGTTGAAGTTGTACCTTCACATAAGGTGCAAGTTTAAGTTGTACCATAGGCTAAATTACATGTTTGGTCACTCAAATTATATAAATCTTTCACGTTTGCCACCCGAATTACTTTTCTTTCTTATTGACCACTAACTTTACGAATCGTTTCATCGTTAGTCACCGGCCGTCAGTCTCCGTCAAACTCCGTTAACAGCGTTAAATTTTTTATGACGTGGCAAACAGAATAGCTGACTGGACCGTTAACTTAATTATATGTCAATTTAAAAAAAAAAAAGTATTCCACCTCATTCTCTCCTCAAATCAACCGCAACCTGTCTCTTCTCCTTCCTCTTCGCACGACCAGCAGTCCGACGAACGACAACCTCCGCCCTCTTCCGTTCAGGTCGGAGCCTCTCCAAAGCCGCCTCACCAATCACTTCTTCCAGCATAGTTCTTTCCCTCATCCGCGACCAGAGTTCTGCATCTCTCTATCAACTGAAGATGCTGCTCTTCTTACTTCACCTCTTCACCGAACTAGCCAAAATAAATCACCCACACATACCACTTCTTTCCCCGACGGTGGGTAAAAAACCCAATATCCAGGAGTCGGTCCCCACCAATTGCTCGACCCCATCGTTTCTCGCATACTCATTCAGTTCTCCGATCTGATCCCTCGAGAGTTCACGAGGCAATTTTAGGGCTCACAGAGCCTAGGGTTCCCAGCAACGCCAACACAATGCCGATCCTCCCGACCAGCAATTTGCCTGAGGATTTCGATTGGAGGGAGAAGGAAGCGATTACTCCCGTCAAGAATCAGAGAAACATATCTCAGCCATATCTGCTCCCTCCCTCGCGCTGACTGAACTCCAGGCGCCGTTTGTCGCTGCGTTGGCCGATGAAATATTGCCTGGTTACTCCCCTGCGCGCTGATGCCGCCTTTGTTGTGGGTGCGGTGGCGGAATCGAGAATCTAGACTGCTTGGCGAAGCAGCAGTAGAACTCGTAAGCAGAGTCCTGAGATACGAATACACCAACTCAATGCGCGTCGAATTCGGCAAGATCGGTTGAAAGTGAAAACCCTAGAAATCTGATTGAATCCGCCATCGATGGGCATTCTCTGAACTGGCCGTACCCATTAGACACCGAGCTTCGACGAGGCGGTGACAGAGGAATCCATTGGCAAATGGCAACTCGCCTCATTTTTGTCTAATTAGTTTATATTTTATATTATTATTTTTTTAAATTCACTTGTCATTAAATTAATGATCTAGTCAACAGTTTCGTTTGCCACGTCATCAAAAAACTGACGGAGTTAACGGAGACTAACGGTCGGTGACTACGGTGAAACGAATCATAAAGTTAGTGGCGAATAAGAAAGAAAAGTAATTTGAATGGCAAACGTGAAAGATTTATGTAATTTGAGTGACCAAACGTGTAATTTAGCCTTGTACCATAAAAGAATTTGTACAAAAAGTATAGGTACAATATGAAGTTGTACCATAACATTAAAGGTACAATTTCAAGTTGTACCATAAAGGTAAAAACCTATAGCACCAATACTATATAGCATTGTAAAATTCCTCAATTTTAACAAATTATTAGTTACACTTTCAATAATATATAGCTATATTATTAACATTTTAACTTTTGTTATATAAAGATGGTTTCAATATAACTTATGTTATTATTTATTAACAATTTAAACTACGTTATTATCATTCTGGCCCATGTTATTAGCATTTTAACCCACGTAATTAAAAAAGAGCTTTTTCATTTTAACCTATATGTTATTAACATTTTAAGCTAGGTTATTATCATTTTAGCCAACGTTATTAACATTTGGTTCTCACGCTAACTCACATTACTAATATGTTAACATTCGTTACCAATCTTTTCCCTTACGTTAAAAACATTTTAACCTACGTTATTATCATATTAACCCACGTTATTAACACTTTAACAAATTATTGTAACACTTTCAACATGTATTAAACTACATTATTAACATTACACATTCTTTCCATTTTATTCTACGTTATTAACATTTTAAGATACATTATTATCATTTTAACCAAAGTTATTAACATTTTGTTGTCATTCTAACTTACATTATTAACATTTTAACATTCATTATCTATCTTTAGCCTTACGTTATTATCATCACCACCCATCACGCAGACGAGAAGATGGTGGCAATGTAGACGGGAATCTGACGAGAAGATGGTCACGACGGGGGATACGACGGCGACCAGGCAGCCATGAGGACGGGTTTGCAGATGGAACGACGACGTGATCGTGACTTGACGACGACGAGGGTCCTGGCGATTCCATGGAAAATCTTAGTGAACGAACGCGGCGAACGGCAGACTAAGATGCGAGACGATGACGACGAAGGAGAAGACGAGACGACGACGCCGGAAAGCAAGCGCGGTAGTCTACGAACGCGGCGAACGGCAGACGAGAAGGAGAGACGACGACAGCCGTGACGACACCGGCCTTAGATGTGAGTCGACGACGACAAACGAGAAAACGAGACGACGACGCCGGAAACCAAGCACCGCAAAGCAAACGCCCGGCCGGCTGCGCGACCCCGACGGTGATTTCTGAAGGATGAATGGGTTTAGGGTTGGGAGGAGAATGATTTCTCCTATTCGTTCCTAAATTAATAATATCATTTAATTATTTTCTATATTCCTGTCTTACCCTTCAACGTATTAGGTAGGTAGTTAACCAATCATTACTAATCACTCTCTCTCTCCTTTTCCTATTGGCTGAAAGGTATTTAAGATTTTCCTTAAAAAAGAGGCCTTAAAGACCTGATCTAACCCGAAATTCTAGAGATAGGAAACTAACCAATAGTCACCATTCATCTCTGTATCTTTTGATAGGAGCTTCACCTCCGGAGTATTATGATTTGATTAGTATTAGTGGGTTAGCAAGAAATTTATCTAAATAGGCCCAACGTAATACACTCATCGAAAAAGTATTCATGATTTCATCACTATTCATTTGATTCTAAAGTATTTCTTCACTTTATTCATTGCATTAATTAACTACTTTTTCAACATTTGCAATGACAATGGATAGAAGCATATAGGCTAAATTACACGTCTGGTCACTTAAATTATACATATCTTTCACGTTTGCCACCCGAACTACTTTTCTTTCTTATTCATTCGTCACTAACTTTACGAAACTTTTCACCGTTAGTCACCGACTGTTACATTTCGTTAAATTTGTCCTACATGGCAGCCAACTATAAAGTTTGACCGTTAACTAGATGACATGGAAAAGAAAAAAATAAATGGATTTTTCAACGTTTTTTGTTGAGGTTTTTTGAGTGACCGTTAACTAGATGACAGTTTTTTTTGTTGAGGTTTTCCTATATATTGTCTAAACAGGACATATAGATAATCTGATACTACTTGTAAGTTGTAACATCCCGAACCTTTTTTGATCAAGATATTATCTGTTTTGGGTGTAGATCCATACGGTTTTGTCTTTGAAGTGCATATATCAAGGTGACTTTCTGATAAGTCACTCATCATTGTAGTGTTCCACAATAAGCAAGTTCATTACTTATGAATCTCTCTTTTTACTTTGTCGATATGAGATTTGACTAAAGTGTTATGGAAATTGTTTTGAAATAGATAATAAATGTCTAAACAAAAAATTTAATAGATTCATTAAAACAATATTCAACAGCTCCAAAAAATAGTAAATAATTTTATTTTTCTATATATTATTTTCCGTCATTATTCGGTAATCGGTAGCTTCCCATTTGACCACTGTTGCTTCGATTTCCATACTTTTTGATTCGGTTTTTCATTGTCTTATTCTATTTACATTTCATTTCCTCTCAAAACTTTGTTTCTATTTATTGTATTTTATTGCTAAATCGCTATTTAAAATTGTGCTTAATTGTATTTTATAATGTCATCTTTTGTTAATTGGTATCTCTATTTATTAATATTTAGTATGTATTATCCTTTATAGATGTAGTATTATTCCGATATTACTCCGGTAAATATCATACTTATTCCATATGAGATTGTGTAGATTTTACAATCTTTTGGCTAACCACATTCTAAAAATAGGTATTTTTCCACAAAAAAAAATAAGTATTTTTTTATAATGGTTGAAAATTTTAATTACTAAGTGGTAATTATTTGGTGTACATATGATATTTTGACAATGCATAATATTCAAATAAATAAAACCCCTTTCTGCAACACCATGAACTTCCAATCCCCAACGAAAAACGGATTCTGCTTTATATAAAAAAAAAAAATGTAATAATAATTGGACAGATCACAATCAATCCGTTCATTCTTTGCAAAAAAAAATTAGAATTCGAGTTAAAACGAAAGTAATATTATCTACAGAATTTATGGGAAAGGAAAATTGCACCCGCCATCTTCATCATCTTCACCTTAGCATTATCCAAAAGAGCCCACAAGAACCACTGCCATTAACAGTGATTCCCAAAATCGAGAAACGACCCTTTTATCTTTCTAGTTTACTGAACAATGCATCCATCGGCGGCAGCTCCTTCACCATCTGCTGCCAGTCGGGCATCCCCTGCATCACAGCAAATATTCCACCATAAGTCAAAAATCCATCATGGAAACTCAAGGGGAAAAAAAGAGACTAACTTGCTTTTCATGAATAACGCCTAGCTGTTTCTTCTCGGCCACTATTTTTCCTCCATAACCTAAGCTCGGAGGCAACACATCTAAATGAGAGATAGTGTTGACTGATTTGGTTATTCGGCCTTGGGCCATATGATACTGGTACACTAGCATTCCATCATCAAGGTCGCAATTCAGGCAGACAGATCTGCGAAGGCTACATGAGGCAGGATGGAAGACTATGAAAGTAAAGCCTTTCTGGTATATGACAAATCCCAGAATCCAAACTGAGCCATTGAGGTGGTAGTAGCAAAAGTGAGAAAATCCATAAATGTATATTCGACGATGCTGTTCACTCCTTTTTTTTATAGTCCTATTAGCTTATTCAAAGTAGAGCTAAGAGTATAACATCATTTCCCACATTTTTGGGCCTTAAACTTCTGACACTTCATTTAAAGTGGAAAGCCGAAATCTGAAAGGTAGGATACTTACTTTACCAGATCTTCGAACTCGACCATCCAGTCGCATTATTATGTAGACATCCTCACCAGGAGTAACACCTTCAGATATTTGCTGATCCCTTATCCACCTGAATGAATTTGGATTACAGCTTCTTAAGAATTAATCAATCAGAAGGAAGACAGGACTTCAAAATAATGTTGTGTTTTAGTGAAAGATACTACGAAGTCACCAAGAAAATGTTAGTTAACAAAGCAAGGAGAGCCTAACCTCTCCCATTCTGAAGGGGACACAACCTCTGCCTTGAATCTGATTTCAGCTTTCAACTTTGACTTTGTTACCACCGACTGAGTTCTTTTCTCGAAATCTTCCTACCATTGTGCCATCAAATCTAATGTCAAGAATGGAGCATAACCGAAGATCAACTATGTGTTATCCTTAACAATCTCAGAGAAGAGAAGCTATTCCTCGATTAAAATGTTGGTATATAAAGGTCATTTTTCCAAAATAATAATTCAACATCAAAATCTTACTTCCTCGGCATCCTTTTAGAGTGAAAGAAAGAAATGCACTTAGATGGAAACTTGGTAGCTTACCCCAATAGATGGAAGAGCGGCAGCTGCATTCCGGGTAGCACCAAAACCTTTCTTCTCAACTGCTGGTTCTCTACCCTCACCCAATATAACGGGAACCAAAAGAACACCACGCCTTACAAGGTCAGTACGGAATCTCTCTGCCTTCTGTATGGCCAATGAAACAGTGTCTTTCTTCCCAGCGAGAATTACCTGTATCCCACTCATAATCAGAAAACTGGACTTGGAAATTCAACATTTACCTGCTTCAACATCTGACAATTTCTGAAGTTTCATTAATAGATGGCGTTTCAATTACAAAATAGAAGATAGTTAATTCACCAAAAAGATATACTGTAACAAAGTTTATTCATCATCACCCACGACTAAAGCTTGCTAGAATGTTCCAATAATTATGCATAGATAATAACACAGCTATAATTACGCTGCAAGAGATTTTATGCAATTCAAGTAAGTTTTGAGGAGGAAAGAGAAGGAGAAGGAGAAAAGATGGAATGGGGGGGTGGATGAATTGTTGATACTAACTGGCCTGACAGTTTCTCGAAGTTGAACGAGCTCAACCACACGATTTGTCGAAAGGCGCAAAGGCAACCTTGATAGAGTTTCATCCCTGGTTATCTGTGCTAGTTGCTGTTCCTCTTTCTTATTATCCCATATAAACAATGCAACGAAAACTATAATACCTGCAGATTGCCAATTCATAACATGTCACTTTATAACCATCAAAGAAATATGAAAAAATCAATCATTTTAAGGAGTTAAAGTGTAAAATATGTATGCAGTACATTATGCTTCTACAAGAGAACCCTGGAGTAACAAACTGAAGCGAAAAGTTAGCAATAAGATATATCATCCATTACTCATTTCTATACAAAAGACGAAGTAAAACACAGACCTCCTACATTAACTGCAGCATTTCCAGCAGTTCCCAATAGATCAGGAGCGCCATCTCCACCTTGGAGTGCACGAACCAGCCTAGGAATTGTTAAGAACATTGATATGCCTGCAGCTGCTGTGAATGCAACATAAAAGAATCTCCTTATTCCACGAAACGGTGCTTGGACTTCACTGATTAGTTTGAGATCCCTACGGAAGCTTTCGCCTACGTCTTCACCACCCAGTCTGGCCTGTAATTTCCGCCAATGTCTATGAGCGGCGGGGATGTATATTTCAACACAAGTCCCAGGCTTCAAACGACAAAAATCCCTAATCACGCTGCATTTTCCCGAATCCCTATTTAAGCCAGATGGTATGGGTTTCATTTAAATTGAACAGGTGAAATACACTAGAGGGTATTCCTACATTGGTATGCTGAAAGGCATACAGACCAAATCGCCAGGGATAGATAGACAGCATTTAAAACTAAGCAGAGGGGAAGAAAGACACATTCAACTAGCTTAGTCGAAGCGAATTAACCTCTTCTTGCAGTTCCTTGAACTCGGGAAAAGCTCGGAAGGATGCCAAGTCAGGGTCATTCAGAATGGTGGAGAACTTGAGGTTATAGTCCCTTAAAGCTGTACGTAAGCAATCGGCAGTCATTTTTCCTTCTCCTCTACATTAGCCCAGAAGAGAAACGGGTATGATCAGATAGATACACCAAATCTCAGTGACGAGTTCACAGTTAAAAGCAATCATTTGAAAAGCAACATCGATAAAATTCAGGGGCGGATCAATGAAAACAATGTGCATAATCCAACAGTTAAGTACCGAACCCTGTCAGTGGTTATTGGAACGTGAATATAGGCAATGAATCTGCTTAAGAAACAAATATTGCCACATCATATCAACCACCTAAATGATTTCATTCTCGAAAGCTGCTTATATTACCAAGGTACAGGCAATGTATCTGTATGATTTCTTAACCAAAACCCCCTGAAATTTCAATTTTGAAAGTTAAAGCAGCAGGAACAGCAAGCGCATTGCTCGTTGTTTTGGGTAGACATGATGATTACTATATCCATAAGAAGTTGTTAAGAGAAGGGTTGAAATGTCAACCTGTAAGCATGGCAGCAAGCCTTGTTATATAGCGCAGCTTGGGCCTCAATGGGATTGGGATCCAAGCTAAGTGCTGTTTCAAACTGGACGAGAGCATCCTTAACCTGAAAAAGAAATAGAAGAACAAATACAGTAACACGAATTAAACTCCATCAATCCAGTAAGAAGATGAAATTCAACTTCGCATCACAGAGAACCCACTAAAATAAAGGAAAAGGGTTTCCAAATACCCGTCCATTTGAGAAGAAGGAGAGGCCCAAATTAACGCACGACTCCGCAGTTTGGGTGTCCGCTTCAGGCGACTGAGAAGCTGAACAAGCAGCAGCTAAAGAGACTACACGCTTCTTCGGTGGAGTGATCACACTCGTTCTTCGGAGGTGCCATGACAAGGCTCCGCTGGTCGATCTTGCTACGGTGGAGCTTGAGCAGAGGAAATGATGCTGGTTAAGGAAAATCGCAGCGGTAGCCATTCTAGAGAGCCAGGAGGCCGTATGGTCCAGAGACCCAACTACGGACTGGTGTGAAGTTTTTGGATTAGAATTTTATGATAAGACTGGCTGGTAAACGGGAGCATGGTGGTGAAACCGGTTGAACCCATTGAATTGGTCAAATAAATGGTTAAAGAGTGAGTTATCGGCTTGGAATCTAACCGGTTTGGACCAATTTGATATGGATTTGTGAGAAAACTTGTTGATATCACAATTCACATATTTAATAGCTGACCTTTGCATGGATAAATATAATATATTATCCAAAAAAAATTAAATTATTAGCCAAATTTTTTGAATTACAAGATATTCAAGTCTTTTGCAACACATCAAAATATTAGTCATTTGTCTATCATCGTTAGTATTTTTGAACTATTTTCTTAGTTAAAATATTAAAATATTATAATTCTTCCAAACCAGTATCATGTTAGTGATGATAAATAGGTTCATCCAATACTGAAAGGATCATCCAAATATATATGTCATCTATATTGGACAAAATACTTAAGGGATCATCCAATACTTAACGGATCATATCTTCCCAATGCTTGTTTTTGGAAAGCACTACAAGCATGCTCAAAATCTTTAGTATAGACTGTGGTAACATAAATCGGTTCATTCAATACTGAAGAGTGTAAGTGATGATAGATTATACAAGTTGGATCTCCACTACGTAAATCATATTTTTTGTTCTCCAGCTACGCGGTTTTTTCTTAATCTTTCAACCGATAATATTTTGAAATTTTTTCTTACCGTAGGGGCACTGTCACGACCTTACTCTCGATCGTGCGGCCCTAGCTCTCAATTCCGTTAGAGCGCTAGGCAGCCTTTCTCTCAACTCACTTGAAAGCAAAGAACAAGAACAAAGACAAAGGAAGTGGGAGAACTCTCTAGTGTGTATTACTCTAAAAAATGATGGAATGAGTTACAAGTGAGGGAGATGGCTCCTTATATAGGCCTCTCCTCATACAAGGCATCAATGCCCCTCATAATGTCCCTCTACTACATCAATACACCCCATTAAGTCCCCCCATTATGCACTCTATAAATGTCACCCATTATGTGACTCATAAGTGCACCATTAAGCTCTCATTTAGGTGGAGAATCCTAGGAGCATCTCTATGCTACTAGTCTTCCATACATGCCACATGTGCAGCCGCCTTGTTGTCACCTTGTTGGCGCCATGTCATCTGCCACATGTGACATCCTCCCCCACCTATGCTCGCGACGCCCTCGTCGCGTCCTCTTGATGGAACGCCTCGATCAAGTCCTTGTTCTTCCAAAGCGTGAGCTCTTTCTCCCAAGTTGCTTCACTTTCCGGAAGGTTGCGCCATTTGACCAAGTACTCCACAAAGATTGGATGTACGCCACGACGAGGAATGACACGACGCGCCATGACTTCTTCAACTTCATGGTCGTGTGTCTTGGTGATGAGTGTTGGAGCGCGCTGCGACTCTCTTCGCTGCTCGTCCTCCTTGTCTTCGTGGAAAGGCTTGAGTTGGCTCACATGGAAGACCAGATGGATCTCCAAGTGCGTCGGCAACTCAACCTTGTACGCCATCGTGCCAATCCTCTTCACGATGGGGAATGGCCCTTCATAGCGGCGAAGCAGTCCCTTGTGCACGTTCTTGAGATGCTTGAAGCGATGAGGGTAGAACTTGATCATCACCATGTCTCCCTCTTCAAATTCCAAGTGCCTTCTCTTCTTGTCCGCCCATTTCTTCATCTTCTTACTAGCGCGGGCTAAGTAAGACTTAGCCATCTCCATCTTCTCGTGCCAGCCTTTAGCGAACTTGTAGGCTGCCGGACTGTTGCCTCTATACCCCGTTGCCACCGTCGTAGGTGTCAAAGGTTGCTGCCCCGTCGCCAACTCAAATGGACTCATGTTGGTCGACTCGCTGCGGTGCAAGTTGTAGGAGAATTGTGTCGTATCCATCAACTTCACCCAATCTCGTTGATTTGCACTCACGTAGTGCCGCAAGTACACTTCCAACAAGGCATTCACCCGCTCCGTCTGTCCGTCGCTTTGAGGATGAAATGCCGTCGAGAAGTTCAAGTCTGAGCCCATGATCTTGAACAATTCTCGCCAAAATCTGCCCGTGAAGCGCCCATCTCTGTCGCTCATGATGTTGCTAAGAACGCCCCAATACTTGACCACGTTCTTGAAGAATAGCCGCGCCGCATCCTCTGCCGTCATGTCTTTTGGGCCGGGGATGAACACTCCATACTTCGAGAATCTGTCCACCACAACCATGATGCAACCGCATCCATCGACTTTGGGAAGTCCGATGATGAAGTCCATGCTTACACTCTCCCATGGTCGTTGAGGTGTGGGCAAGGGCTCTAGCAAGCCTGCCGGGCTTCTCTGCTCCATCTTGTCTTGTTGGCACACAAGACAAGTCTTCACATACATCTCCACGTCGTCTCTCATACGCGGCCAGAAGTATGCTTCTTCGATGAGCGCTTGCGTTCTCTCGATGCCGGGATGGCCCGCCCACTTGGAATCATGGCACTCCTTCATGATCTCCTTCCTCAAGTTGGCCCATCTTGGCACGAACACTCGCTCTCCCTTGGTCATGATGAGCCCATCCTTCATCCAAAACCGTCGAGTCTTGCCTTGCTCGATGTACTCCGCTACGGTTTTGGCGAAGGGGCCATGGCCAAGGCCTTCAACGATCCGCTCCTTCAAAGGAAACATGGGTTGGCTGACGCTTGCGGCTGCACTCTTGCGGCTAAGAGCATCGGCAACGGAATTCGCCTTGCCTGGGTTGTACTCCATGACGAAGTCGAACTCGGCCAAAAAGTCTTGCCACCTCGCTTGCTTAGGGGTGAGCTTCTTCTGCGTCAGAAAGTAGCTCGTTGCCACGTTGTCCGTCTTCACTACGAACTTTGACCCCAACAAGTAGTGCCTCCATGTGCGCAAGCAATGCACCACGGCCGTCATCTCCTTCTCTTGAACGGTGTATCGCCTCTCCGTCTCGCTGAGCTTCCGACTCTCGAAGGCAATGGGATGCCCATCTTGCATCAACACACCTCCAATCGCGAAGTTGGATGCATCGATCTGCACTTCGTAGGCCAACGTCGGGTTGGGGAGCACGAGCACGGGCTCCTTTACCACCGCTTGCTTCAAGGCCTCGAATGCTTCTTGGCACCTTTCCGACCAATCCCAAGCCTTGTTCTTCTTCAAGAGATCCGTCAAGGGTGCTGCAATGTTGGAGTAGACCTTGATAAACCTCCGATAGTAGTTGGCAAGGCCGAGGAATGACCGCAACTCTGGCACCTTCGTCGGCGGCTCCCATTCTTGAATTGCCTGCACCTTCGCTCCATCCATCTTCAACTTGCCTCCACCAATGATGTGCCTCAAGAATAGAACCTCCGTGGCGGCAAACGTGCACTTCTCCCTCTTGACATACAACTCGTTGTCGCGAAGGACTTGGAAGACTTGGCGTAGATGCTCGGCATGCTCGTCGAGTGTTTTGCTATACACGACGATGTCATCCAAGTAGACCACGAAAAACCGGTCCAAGAATGGCTCGAACACTTGATTCATCAAAGTGCAAAACGTGGCTGGTGCGTTGGTGAGACCGAATGGCATCACAAGAAACTTGTAAGAGCCATACCTCGTCACACAAGCCGTCTTTGGCTCGTCACCCTCTGCTATCCGCACTTGATAGTAGCCCGAGCGAAGATCAAGCTTGGTGAACCACATAGCATCTCCAAACTGGTCGAACAAGTCGGCAATGCGGGGAATCGGCCACTTGTTCTTCACCGTCAACTTGTTGATGGCTCTATAGTCGATGCACATCCGCAACGACCCTTCCTTCTTATTTTGGAACAGCACCGGTGCTCCAAAAGGTGACTTCGATGGCCGCATGTAGCCTGCGTCCACCAAGTCCTTGAGCTGCCTCCGCAACTCTTCTAATTCCGGTGGCGACATGCGGTATGGTGCTCGCGAAGGGGGCTTCGCTCCTGGCTCCAACTCGATCTTGTGGTCCACCTCTCTTCTTGGTGGCAGCTTCTTGGGCAACTCCGATGGCATCACGTCATCGAACTCTTCGAGGACGCCTTCGATGATGGGAGTTGTGATTCCCGTTGAGCCTCATTCTTCCTCCATTTTCAAGGACACAAGAAAGGTTGGTTCATTCTTCTTGAACCCCTTCAACACCTGCATGGCCGATAGAGCACTATGGTGGCCATCTTCTCGCAAGAGATGGACAGCATGAAACTCCCCCTCCTTCTCCAAGCACATCGTGTTGGAGTTGGGCTTCAAGAGCACTCCCTCCTTGTCGAGGAAGTTGATGCCGAGGATGACTGGGTGATCGTCCATGGTGACGACGGAAAAGTCGATGAGGCCTTCCCACTCGCCTAGCTTCACTGGCACGTTGTGAGCAACTCCATGAATTGGGATGGACTCCGAGTTGATCGTCTTGAGCCTCCCTTGCCCCTTCTCGTAAGCAATACCCAGCCGGTTTGCCTCCTCGATGCGAAGGAAGTTGTCCGTGGCACCGGTATCCACCAAGGCTTTTGACTCGCCTTGCATGAATTGCGCCAGAATGTAGCACCTCCCACGCTTGCTCTCCTTGACGTCGGTCTTCACCGCGCCAAGCTTGCGGATTGAGCCAATCTTGGCCTCCGCCGCCTTGGTCTCCTCATCTTGAGCTTCCATGGCCGCCAATCTCGCCTTCCTTGGGCAATCCCGCACTCGATGTGGTCCATCGCAAAGGAAGCAAGACATGGGTTTTGGCTCGTACTTACCCCCTTTGCTCGAACCACCTTGGTTTTGTTGAGTGCGAGCACCCTCCTTGAAAGGCTTCTGCTGTTCTCCACCCTTGTTGGGCTTTGAACTCTTCTCTTTGCCGCTGCTCTCTTGCCTTTTGTACTCGACAAAAGACTCCGCCGTGGCCATGGCAGTTGCAAGGTCTTGCACTCCTCGACGTTGCATCTCCATCTTGGCCCATGGTTGCAGCCCATCAAGAAATCCGTGCATGGCCTCCTTGTCCGTGATGTCCGGGATCTCTAGAAGCAT